AATTTCCCCCCTCCATTATGCTCGCCTGAGTTGTGTAGGAGCTTGTAGTTGCGGGTTCTAGGTCTATAGTTGTGTAGGAGCTTGTAGTTGCGGGTTCTAGGAGCTTTATTTGTGGTTGTTTTTCTCCCCTGACGTGTGCTAGGCTTTAGTTTTGTCTATTTTGTGCTGTAGATGGTGGAGGTACACATGCTGGTAGTTGCAGCGGTTGATTTGCCTTTTAATTGCAGTGGTGTCTGTCCCCTTTCTGTTAGATGATAGTTGTAGGTGGCTGGTCATGATTCCCCCTGGTAACTAAGGTGTGTCTGAATGTGTTTCAGGAATCTCACTGAATTTGATGCTTGTTTTCCACTGAAATTTCCGGTTGAATTTCAGTTTCCTTTCTCTGTATTTTCTAGGCTATTATTAGTGTACTTACCTTGTAACTTGCACTATTATATGAGTCTACTAACTATGTAATTATTCTGTAATATCAGTGTATTTACAGTCTAATATCAGTGTATTTACTTTGTTACTTGCACTGTAAGATCATTGTACTAACTATGTAATTACACTGTAGTATCAGTGTACTTACACTGTAAATCACAGTGTAACTTCAGTTTAATTTTACTCTGCAATCCTAGTAATTTCAGCATGTGGTTAGTTAGTTATGCAAGTGGATCTCTGTGTATTGTAGCTCAAAATTACTGTGGATCTTACCCATTTCAATGTAACTATTGTAATATGTTTGCAGAACCTCCCCGTCCCTACTTTTACAGTGTAATACACCCATTTTACAATGTAATTCTCTCATATTTTTTGTAATTACTGTGTAATATGTTCTAGTAGTATGACTGTGTAATTACAGTGTTATACTCCCATATTACAGTGTAATTCTCATAATTCTCCCATGTTTGTAATTGTTGTGTAATTTGTCCTAGTAGTACTGTGTAATTTACAGTGTAGTACTTCCAAATACTGCCAGAATTACAATGTAACTTTCCTCCCAGAATTATTGTGTAATTTATCATCCAATTACAGTTAGCAGTGTTCTGTAATTTCCCCCTGATTCCAGTGTAAATCCTGATTACAGTGTCCTGAGATATGCAAGTTTTTTCAGTGTATTATGCCATGGAATCACTGTGTAATTTGTCCTAGTAGTTACACAGTAATTTAGCCCAACTACTCATGTTTTTTACAGTGTATATGCCCAGATTTACAGTGTATTATGCACTAGAATCATTGTCTACTATGCCCAGATTTACAGTGTAATCATGCCCAGATTTACCTATTTTTTGTAGTGTAATGTTCATGCTTTAGCTCTGTAACTTTCAGGTTTAGATTTATGGGAAAGCTTCGGAAAGTCTCTCACGAGGACGTTCCGTTAGTGTCATCTTTTGAGAGTGCAGATCATACTCGTGAACCATTCATGCCTAATGACTTTGCGGAAGATTGATCATATCTAATGTCTACGGTAGTTATTTTTCTTCTATTTTTTTCTAGTTATATTTTCTTTTTGAGTTTATGTAATCAGTTTATTTATTTTGGCTTTGTCGTCTTTTTCCTTTTTCCAGGAACTTTTTGATGAAGGAGCCTTTGACAAAGCTCTTTTCAAGTTCTATGTTAATCAAGTTGGTTATCTGCTTTCTCTTTCTTGTTCTTGTTGTTTTATGTTGTTGGTTATTTTCTCTTGTTGAGGTGACTTTTGGCTTTATGTTTTTTCAAAAAGTAAAATCACTGAGGAAGAAGTTATCATCTGCTGGTAGAAGAAATGTGGTTAGTCATTTTCCTCTTGCCATGATGCTCTCGTTCAGTATTAGCTTGTTCATCTTATTATTTACTTTTTTAGTGCACTTCTTTGGTATCCATTTCCTTTTTGTTTGTTGTAGAGGCAGAAATGGTCTACTGATTTCCCGACTTGTTCGACCTTCACCAGATATTTCTGGAAAGTTTTTCTCTGGGGTAGTTGATGGCATGTGTGATAGGTATAAGGGTGTCATTCAGACCTATGGCATGGGGTGTCTTCTTAATTTTGTTAGGACTGAGGTTGCTCTTAGGCTAGTTAAGTGGCTTGCCAGTAGGTTTGACGTATCTGCTTCTGAGTTCTAGTTAAAAAAGAAGTCCATCCCAATCACCAAATATGACATTCACAATATCCTTGACCTCCCAGTAGATGGCGAGCCACTTCTTTGTGATCCTGAGTCAGGCCGTGATTTTGTCCTCTCTCATTTCAATCTGTCAAGTATTCCTCCAGTTTCTTTCTTTGCCAACAAGCTGAAATCTTCTGAAGTTGAGTTGCCTGACGACGACATTTTCATATGCTTCATGATTGTTGCTTTCTCCTTATTTCTATGTCCAAACTCTAGCCTCAGTCCTAGTCCAAAGTATCTACATATCAAGGATTATCGCTCTGTTTGCAAGCTCGATCTGTGGCAATTTGTTTATGAGTGGTTGATGTCTAGTATTAAGAAATTCAAGGATTCTACTAAAGTTGCTTCGAAGAGATCTGTGACGTTTGGTGGCTGCCATTACGCCCTGGCTGTTGTCATATGTAGATCATTCCACTGATCGTGTAGTGTCCTTTTTTCTTTCCTTTTTTAACCTCGTTTGTGTTCGTTGTTATAGGTTTCTTACCATGATCATCTCAATTTCAGTCCCCACTCTGTCCTTGATGTCAAGTCTCGTCTACTAGCATGGAGAGGTAACAAAGTCAAGTAGTTTGCAGAGCTTGACAGAAACAATAGCCGCTCTTATGGGAAGAGGCCACTGAAGGCTTTTTGTCCTACAGTTCATTTGCAGGTAGTATTGTTCATTTTCTTTATTGCTTTTGGTTATGTTTTTAATTTTCTTCTGGTGTGTGTAAACTTGTTTCTATTTTTGCAGGAGCGTGTTGATAAATCTACAACAAGTAAGGATGTTGATTGTCCTCCTCGCAATGCCTTGTTTGCAGTGACTGTTCTGAATTCTTTTGGCCCTCGGTTTGGCTCCAAGGTACTTGATATGTGTATATTTCCATCTGTAGTGTTTTCATATATGTAGTAATCAGTGTTTACTTTGGCTTTTTTGCATTTTTTATTACTTGTCTCATTTCTCGGTTGTTTATTTTTTTCAGACTGCTTAGGAACTTCTTGAGCTTGTTGAGGATAGGAACAAAGTAAACCCAAGATATTTGTTGATTGGTCAGAGTCTCTTATTATTGAGGTGTTGGAATGTTTGTCCCGGTGGCCTTTGCACGAAAACACTGCTCCTGCAACAAAAGTTTCTGTCAGCGAGGATACTTCACAGAATAAATTCTCTTTTGGTTAGTTGCATTTTTTCCCTTGTATTTTTGCTTTCTCATTTTATGTATTCATTTTGACTTTTATTAGTTTAGTTTTTGTGTCTTTGTTTACTTTATCTCATTTTTGTTGCTTTGTTTCGAGATGTTGTGCATGCAATAAGTCTGTTTCTATTCAGACCGTTATTCCTGATAAGAAACGTGCAAGCATTGAGGATATTCCATCCAGTGAAGTACATGTAGAGATTCCAAATGTAGGCTAGGCTACCCCTAATGCTGCTCGTGATGTTACTGATGGTGGTATTCACAATCCAGTGTTAATCTCTAGTACTTCTACAGCTCATAAAGCGGATCAGGTTCTTTTTCTTTTTTAGTCATCTTTTTTATGGTTCTGGATAGTTCCAGTGTTAATTTTTTTTTCATGTAATTGTTTTGTCCCCTTTGTTTTGGTAGAGTGTGTCAAATCAAGACACAATTCATTCCTTGTCTATCTTCGGTGAAGCTAATGCTGAAGCTGGTACTTCAAAGGATATGTTCTCAGCAAGAGCAGATTCATCTCATGGTATTTTTTTGTTTTAATTTATTTGCATATATCTTTTGTCCTCTGCTTTTCCTTTTTGAATTGATTGTTTATCTTCTTGTGTTTATTCTTTTCTTTTTGTAGGTTATTTTCCTTCAGCAACTGGATGTGCTATTCCTGTCGTTGGTTATAGCATGTTGGAATCAGGTATTCACTATGTAATTTGCCCATAGTTTTCAGTGTAATTTAACATAGGATCACTGTGTAATTCTTCTTCTTGTTTCAGTATAATTCAATACAGAATTACTGTGAAATTCATCCCGTAGTTTCAGTGCAACTCATTGTAGAATTATTGTGTAACCTGTAGTTTCAGTAATTATATTAGAGTTACTGTGTAATTCTTCTCGTAGCTTCAGTGTAATTCACTATATAATTACTGTGTAATTCATCCTGTAGTTTCAGTGTATTTATGCAAGTTACTGTCTAATTGTAAAGTTTTTCGGCTATGTAATTCCCTGACTTTTTAAATGAGCCATGATTCCAGTGTAAGTTCCCCTAGATTTCACAATGGTTTATATATGTATTTAGAGTGTATTTTTTGTAAACCAGGTCAGGGTTTTGCCCGACCCGTTTTTGTCGAAATACAGAAAATAAAGTGGCTGGTGGGAGGGTTTTTTGGGACATACAGGTGTCATTTTCATTTGCTACGAAATTTGAATGTTGTCAAATTGAAAAACAGTCAAATGTCAAATAGACAGTCCCTTGCTTTATTATTATAGGAAAAAGATTAGGCCGGACTTAAACGAGCCAAGACTTATTGGCGGGGCCTTAACAAACTCTGAGAGGCCAGCTACAAAGTCTCCGGCCCACTAAAGACCCCGTCTCTGAGTCCTAGGACAATTCTTCTCACCAAGCGGCGGCGGCGCCGTCACCGTCACGAACACTTCTTCTTCCTCCACAAAAACCAGAGCACGCCGGCCGCCAGACTCGCTAACACTTATTTTTCCCCATCGAATCCAAAACTCGCGCGAGAAGTTTGGAATGTCGTCGGCAGCGTCCGAAATCGACCCCTCCGTGGCGCCCCACATCGTCGTTGAGGAGTCGTCCCGCGCCGAAGGCAGCCGAGAGGAGGCGCTCCCGGAGGCTGCGGCGGTGGAAGCAGTAGTCGAGACAGAGGCAGAGCCGGCGGATGGGGAGGAAGAAGGGGAGTGCGGGTTGTGCCTGTACATGGAAGCCGGAGGCTGCAAGGAGGCGTTCGTGTCGTGGATGGAGTGCGTGCAGGCGCCGGAGAAGGCGGGCTCCGACATGGTCGACCGCTGCCCCCAAGCTATCACCGACCTCAAGAAGTGCATGGACGCCCACGCCGACTACTACGCCCCCGTGCTCCAGGCTGAGCAGACCGTCTCCGACCAAGCCGAAGCCGCCATCGCTGCTGCCACCACCGATGCAAGCAAGAACAAGGGAGAGGAATCCGCTCTCTCCCCGGACACTGATGAGACCAAGATGGAAGAAGCACTTGTCGTGTCTGCCGCCACCGCTGCCGATGAGAAGGACGTGGTGGTTGAGCAGGAGGCTACTTCCTCCACGGCCGCCGAGTGGGTGAAGAAAGAAGAAGCAATCGTCGAGAAGGCAGAGTCCTTGTCTTTGGGTAACTAATAATTGCCTGGTTAGAATTTTGAGCTCGTAATAACTTTGTGTTCACTATGAGTTATGATCTGATTGAGGCGCATGAGTCTAGTTTTTATCCCCTTGGGGGAAATTGTTGGACATGATGCGCAATTTACTGGAAAATTTCTGGATGGTTTTATATGGTAGGTTACATACTCATCATGTTTGTGCTTGATGCATTGACATTATTATATCTCTAGAACTACTCCTGGTGACCATGAAGATACACAATTTGCTTTAGAATTTGTTGATGCTTTTATATTAAAATATCGGCTACATATTCACCACGTCTGTTGCTTGATGCATTGGCATTATATAACGTTGATCTAAGTCCTGATGACTGCGATGTCTAATAAAGTGGCCTTCGGTTGCTTTGGATCTGCCATGCCGAGTAAGTTTGAAATGGATACCATAATTGATGGCCCGGCCCCCGCGTCGCTCCGCTTGGGGCGACTCGGGTGGCGACCAACCCTAGCCGCCGAACCTTCCCTCCCGCCTCCCCCCTCCCTCCTCGCCGCCGCCCGAGGAGACCTCCGGCGCCGTCCGCGGGGTCGTCAAGGACGGCGGCGGCGAGGATCTGCTGCTCCCGCCTAGAGGGCTCCGGACGCCGAGGCGGCGCTGTCTCTTCTGCAAGCGGCGTCGCAGGTGGTGCCCCTTCGTTTCCTCAACCGCGAGGGTGGCGAGGGACGGCGGGAGCTGTCGCCGGCTGCAGCGGGTGTTGCGCCCCCCTCGCTCGCGGCTGGATCTGAAGGCAGTCTCCCTCCCCCACGCAGCACTTGGCCCCGCCGAATCTGGTCGTCGGTGGCCTCTGGCCGCCGGATCCGTTGTCGGGCTGCCTGGAGGTGCGGACTGAACCGGGAGAAATCCTTGGCTGGTGTGCTCTAGCCACGACGGCGGCGACATCGGCCGGTGCCGTTCCCTTCCTCGGAGGCGTCGTCGAGGTTCGTGCCCTCTCCCTCCCGCTCCATGCCCAGGAGAAATCCCATGTCTTGCTGAGACAGGTCGACAACGGTGCGGTGTGCGTCGCCTCCTTCTTGAAGGTGCCGGCTTGGGCAAGGTGGGAGAATGCTGTGGTGCTGGGCGATGGTGGCTGGGTTGCTGTGTCTTCGGCAAGGGATTTGGAGCATGGTGCTTTTGTCTCTGAATTAGTGTTGGTCCGTTGTCCTCTCGATGGTCATTGGCCGATTTGTGCTTGCTTGCTCAACATCTTTGCCTTGGGCAGGGAGGGGATAGGGATCCTCTCCTTTGTGTTGGCAGCAACCAGATGCGGTTGCAAGGCCACGGAGCTGATTCTGCGGGTTGTTCTGATTCCAGTTATGGATGCTCCATTTTCTCCTTGTTGTTGGTTTGTTCAGTGACAGCTCCCTTGTGCAGTTTTTCCTCTTCGTGCTTGTATCAGTGGGCTGCGGTGTGGACTTGCATCTGGTATCCTTCGTGCAGCGGTGTGTCGAGCTGAGTATCTCCCTTGGTGCTCAGAATCATGCCCTCTCCTTGCTCTAGGGAGGGCAATTTCATCTTCCGGCGGTCCGGCGCCTTTCGAGCCAAGGCGAGGGGCAGGGGTCCCCTCCGGATTTGGAGAGGAGTGGCATGTTTTCGATGTGCACCTTCCAGGGTAGATGAGGGCTCGGTTCATCGACGTTGGGCAATGGCTCCGCCCGAAGTTCCCCTCTGTTTGTCCTACTGATTATAGTTCACTTGGAGGAGTCCGTAGACTACAAGCTAGTGCTTATTCTGTTTACTTCTATAGGGCGTGTAGTCTTTGGTGCTTGTAAACTGCTTCGGCATCATCGTGTACCTGCAGTTTGTTTTCTTTACTGTTTCCAGTTGGTTGTATTGGTGGCCTTGTGTAATCCCTGGCCGGTTGATGGCTTTGTTAATTCAAAGTCGGACTCTTTTTGAGCCTTCGTTCTAAAAAAAAGAGTAAGTTTGAAATAGATTTCAGCTGGTTACTCTCATTGACATCAATCTAGCTCGACTTCATTTGCCATTAAAATTTAGGATTTTAGACTAAAATCAACCTTCTGTTGTGTCAAAAGATGGCAGATCTTTTAACTAGTCTCTTGGCCAAAGCAATAGTAAGAAACTTGGAATGCTATACGGCCAAACTCCCAAAAATAATCAGTTGCATTAACAAAACAGCAGTTACTTACATATATTATCTTATGTGAGGTTATTTTTCTTCGAATAATGGTTGGGCATGATATAGCTCGCTGAACTTTTTTTATGGTTTTATATGATATACACGCTTCATGGATTGATATTATTATATCTCTGATTAAGTCATCATGGCGAGATACTCCCAGTGACGGATGTCTAGTACATCGTCTTTGAGTTGTACTGGATGCAGACGCACGCGTTGCAGACTAGATTATGTTTTATATATTTGAAAAATACCAATTTCATATATTTCAAAAACTATCCTTTAACAAAACAATTTCACTCGTTTTCACATGATGAAATCGCATCCTGGCCCGCGGTGTCATGGCCTTGATTTTTATTTCAAAACACTGTCATTTTAAAACTAATTTGAAATAATTAGCTTCACATTGTGTAAGTAACTAGTTTCACATTTTTGGAATAATAAGTTTCACGTATTTCACACTGAAATATGTTTCACATGCATGCAAAACAAATTTCACTCATTTCAAAAAATTGGTTTGACTAAATTCAAAAAGGTTATTCCACTTATTTCTGAAAATATATTTCACTCATTCGGAACGTTGAAATATATAGAATGGGGCTGCGTTCCCTTACGTCATTTCGGTGTTTGATCGTCTGCCTGCTACTGACTGGACATAGTTGACTTACAAAAAAAATGAAAAAATGAAAAAGAAATCAAGATTTTGAAATGTGTATGAAATTTTCAAAAAATGTTCACGAAATTATAAAAAAGTTCATCAGATATGAAGAAATGTCATTGAATTTGAAAAGAAGATCATCAAATTTGAAAAAAGTTCATCAAACTTGAAAAATAGTTCATAGAATTTGATAAAAGTTCATCGAAAATAAAAAAACATTGAATTTGAACAAAAGTTCATCAAATTATTAAAAAATGTTTATCAAATTAAAAAAATCATCAATTTTGGAAAGCAGTTCATCAAATTAGTAAAAAATTCATCAATTTTGGAAAAAAATCAGAAATTTTAAAATGTTCACAGATTTTTTCTACAAATGCAAAAAGATGGGGAAAATATTATTTTGGGAAAACGAATTTGAAAAATAAATAAAATAACAAAAAGAAAATAAGAAAAAATTTAAAAAATAAAACCGCCTTGGAAATGACCAACGAACCGGGACCAAAACCAACAATAAAAAACAAGTTAGAAAGCAATAGTTGTTTGATGGCATAATGGTTACTGTCATTGGCGTCGAAGAAAGTGATCGCGAGTTTGAACTGCGGCGGTACATCTTTTTTGAACGTTTTAACAGAAAAGGCAGGAGATATATGGGCCGGCCCAGCTCGCAGCGGAGGTGTGGTGCGTTTTAGGCACCCGTTTGTGAAAAGAGCTATAACAGGCACTTGAAGCAGCGCCGGTCGTTGGAGGAGAGAGTGTTTGCTTCGTGGGATCTTTTTTTCCACACGATAAGTGCCTGGATAAACATGCACCCCAATGAGTCAACGTGTTCACTGTGCTCAGCGAAGAACAGTACTCCCTCCGGCCTAGTTTATAAGGCCCCTTTCATTTTGAGCCAAAGTTTGATCAGTAATTTAACTAATAAAATATAAAGTATATATTACGAAAATTATATCATAGAAAACTTTTTTCAAATACAAATCCAACAATATACTTTGTGTAGCATATACTTTATGTATATATTAGTTAAATACATAGTCAAATTTGGACACAGGCTACAAAATCACTACGAGGGCCTCCATCCTGCACATGCATACGGCGGGCAGTGAGCTGGCCGCACAGCCCGTCGGCGCCGCCACGTTGCGTGTACGTACATACGCGCGCGCTGACGGGTCGTGAACCAACGGCACGCGGCGGCGCCATCCCGGCCGCGACGACGACTTCCACGCCGGAATTCCACGTGCTTCCTTTCCATACCGATCCCGATCCGCGTCCAGGTCGCCGCGATCCACCGATCCACCGATCGCTTATAGTATAAAAAACCACGCTCCATCGATCGTTCTTGCACCACAGTGCTCGATCCACTATCTCATCACATCACGATCAAGTCACACACAGCCCACGACGATGATGCACCGTGCTACGATCGTCGGCGTCGTCGCGCTTATCGGCGTCCTTCTCGTCGGCGGCGGGGTTCGAGCGCAGCCGCCGCAGCGGTTTGACTACCCGGCGGCGAGGGCGCCCACGACCTGGGCCAACACGGACGCCGGCCTGCCGCACCACGTGGTCTACACCGACGGCTCCGTGGCGCGCGTGGCCCTGCTGCGGCTCAACCCGGCCGGCTACGGCCCCTCCTACGCCTTCGGCTTCTTCTGCACCGGCCACGGCGCGGCCCCGTGCGCCGACTTCCTCCTCGGCGTCGCCGTCGTGTACTCCAACAGCGGCGCGCTCATCACGTCCACCACGACCGGCGTCCCGCAGGTCGTCTGGTCGGCCAACCGTGGCAGCCCCTTGGGCGAGGGTGCCGCAGCGGAGCTCACGCCTGAGGGCGACCTCGTGCTCAGGTCCGCCAACGGCTCGGCGGTGTGGTCCGCCGGCACCAAGGGCCGGTCCGTCGCCGGGGTGACCATCGGAAGCGACGGCAACCTCGTGCTGCTCGACGGGCGCAACGCCACGGTGTGGCAGTCGTTCGACCACCCCACAGACGCGCTACTCGTCGGGCAGTCACTCGGGCACGGTGCGCGGCTCACCGCCAATACGTCGGCTGCTGACTGGCGCGACGGCAGGTTCTACCTCGCCGTCGAGGACGACGCCCTGAGCGCATACGTCAACGCCACGCCGCCGCAGCGCTACTACCACCTCGGCTTCGGCGAGACCGCTGCCGGCGCCCACGCGACGTACACAAACGGCAGCCTCACGGTCTCCGCGCGGCCCGGAGCGCCGTCGCTGGCGACCATCCAGCTGCCCACCGTCGTGGCCGGCACGGTGCAGTACATGCGGCTGGAGCACGATGGCCACCTCCGGCTCTACGAGTGGCGCTCCGGCTCGGGCTGGGCGCCGGTGTTCGATGTGCTGCGCCTCTTCCCGGACGGCGGCTGCGCGTACCCAACCGTCTGCGGCGCGTACGGCGTGTGCACGGACGACACGCAGTGCAGCTGCCCCGACGCGGCCAACTTCCGCGCGGTGGACTTCCGGAGGCCCAACCGCGGCTGCGTCCCGACGAATCCACCGGCGACGTCCTGCGACTCATCGTCGCGGGGGCAGCGCGCGCAGCACCGGCTGGTGTCGCTGCCGGGCACGGGCTACTTCAACGACCACGCCACGAGCATGCGCGCCATGGAGAGGGTGAGCGAGGAGGCGTGCCTGGACGACTGCGCGTGCGCGGCGGCGCAGTTCTACTACGGCCGCGACGCCGGCGACGGGTTCTGCTACCTGCAGTCGGAGGTGTTCTCGCTGCTGACAGTGCGGACGGAGGTGGTGCACTACAACTCCACCATGCGTATCAAGGTGCAGGCCAAGTCAGCCAGGATCTGATGATGGCTCTCCTCAGCACTACACATACATGCATCACGGCAAGGTTCACGAAAAAGTTTGTTACCAATAAAGTTCTCGGTTATTTGTACAAAATCCGTTTAATTAATGTCGGACGTGAGAATGACATGAATCTTTTCTCCATTCTTTCTACGTTAAGAGCATCTTCGATAAGTCATGTAAAAGGCTCCCCTAAAATGTATTATGCAGTGTGTCTCCGGCGGATCTCGCACGATTCGAAAAGTGGTTGTCTTTGATGTATCCAATTTTTGTTCATCTTTGTTTATGTGTCTTGAAGTTGGATCCCTTCGATCTAAGTTTCTTTTCATCGGCGAGAGATGTAGTTCTGATGCATTGGTCCCATGGGGCTTTAGTACGGCGATCCAGACTGTCTACTACAACAAGTTATGCCTGACTCTGGCGAGGGAGGGGTGATAATGGCAGCGCGCGTTCGGCTCACTTCAATGCTATGCCTGACTCTGGCGAGGGAGGGGTGATAATGGCAGCGCGCGTTCGGCTCACTTCAATGCTTGTAGTTGTTGCTAGATGGTCTACAAATGTGGATGCATTGTTATTTCTTGTGTTCGCTGTATCGAAGATGAATAAATTGAAAAAATTTCCTGAAAAAAATTGGATATAGGGTGTCCTTATAATTTAGTGTCCCCGATACACCCTCCTCTAAAACTGCTTTTCTTCTATTCATCTTTAAGCTAACATACAGATGGCATATGCATCTCTATTTTATATCAACATAATAATTCAAATAATGTTGTTTCTGACACACATAATTCATCATTTCAAAACCACAATTTATGAAGTTGTTCAATATTCAAATTCAAATTAAAACATAACAAATGGTCTATTTTTTTTCTGAGGAACCGACAGGAGCACCGTCTTTTCATTTCAGACCAGAAACGAAGAGTTTATGTACAGAGGTGACAAGTTTTTACGGGAAAAACTGCCAGAAAACTGCAAAAAGAAAACTGTCAAAATATTCAAAGTATAAACATAATAAATGGTCTAAGTCAATCAAACAAATAAATATATAAATAAGTGTATTGACTAAAAGTGACCACATGTGTTCTTCATGCCCCGCATGATTTTTGATTTACCGATGCATCTCAAGAAATTTCTGAAATCCACGTTCACCCCTCTATGGCGCAACAACTGGCACATAAACTTTGTTCCCCTCGTTCTCATAGCGAAAATCTTGTTGTTGTTCCCAGTCGTCCTGTGTGATCACATAATGGGAGCACACACGCGGTCAATGATGAGCCACAAATCGTTTTGGTGTCAGAATCTTGCAAAGCCACGAACAATGGGAACGCGAGCTTGCAGAATTTCAAATGTCCGTTTGACATGCTTTCTACACGTTTCTTGATGCATCACATAGTGAATTCTCCTGTTACCTTGAGGTCTGATAGCGAAAGTGCTAAGAGCATCTCTAGCAGACCCGTATAAGGCCCCGACCCACAAAATAACCGTCAAAATAAGCGTCCGCGCATAAAATGCTGCCCGACCAGACCCAGCAAACGCGTCCAATCCGTAAAAAAATTTGAGGGGCGCGGTAAAATCCCATCCCCAACCTGCGAAAACGCAGGTTTCCGTCTCGCCCCGACGGTGCCCCGTATCTCAAAAAAGCGGTTGGCGGGAGGGGCATTTCAGCCCGTGCCCTTTCCCCACCCCCTTCCACCGCCGCCCGCCATTGGTTCCGCCCGTCCGCCGCCGGCGATTCCGGCCAAATCTGCGGGCGGAATCGCGCCAGAGGGGAGGGAGGGGGCGCCCCTACCCTCTTCCACCGAGCCGGTTCAGTGGCTCCCCGGATCCGCCATCTGAGCCGCTTCACCGGCTCCCCGGATCTGCCATCCGAGCCGCCCTTAGCCGCCGTCGCCGCCTCGGGATCCACCGCCGCAGAGCCACCGCCTCGAGCAACCGGTGAGTTCTTGTACTTGTGCTTGTGCCGAGCGGTATGCATAGTTGGTTAACGCAACGATTTGAATAATTATTATAATTTGGGTGATTGTTGTATTGTAACATTGACATTTTTTCTTATATTGTGAAATAGTAATTCTGAATATGTGCATATGTGTCCAATTCAGATAAAACCACATTTGATATGCGGGCTGGCACCCGCGTCGGCCAACAAAACCATTTTTCCGCGAACTGTAAACAAGTTTTGCGGGTCGGTGATATACGGGATCTACTAGAGATGCTCTAATAAAGCTTGAGCTCCTCAGATTTAAAGTTTCAATATTTGCAAAAGATACACATATACATCTTCTATAACATTAAGGTCCCTAGTTTTAAAGAGCCCACATTCAATTGAGGTTCAATTAGAATTGGGTCATTTGATTTTGAACGGGTCAACAATTTCTCAAAACCCTCTCATTCAATTCTTTTATACTATACACCATGCTTCCTAATTGTTAGGACCTCACAATTAATTAACGTACTCGGTTTAGAATTAGGTCAACTGATTTTGACCGGGTCAAACACTTTCTCAAGCTTTCCCATTCAATTCTTTTACTTCACCATGTTTCCTAATTTTGAAACTCTTCCATTCAATTGAGTTATTTTAATTTTGAATTTTGTTTAGATTTAGACAGGGCAAACGATTTTTCAAATCAATCAGCAACAATCGACCTATAAAAATATATCAATTCCACACATCCTCCCACCAAGTGGAAAAAGTAAGTGTCACCATGTGATATTGTAGCACCAATATAGTAGTACATGCAACCACTAACACATAATTTTTTTCCACATAAATATAGGTTGATTAACGGATAAGACAGAATCACACTACGAATGACATGTCAAGTCACCGTATTATAAAAAAAATAAAACATACTATCATCTCCCCACCCGCTAACCTAAGTATTCCATCTATTCCAAAATATAAGGGTTATTAGTTTTGTAGAAAATTAAATTTCTTTAACTTTGACCAAGTTTAGAGCAAAAATATTGACTTTACCAGAATATGAAACAAAAAAGTATGGAGATTCATTTCATGATGAATTTAAAAATACCAATATGATATTACATATTTTAATATATATATATATATATATATATATATATATATATATATATATATATATATCTGTAGCTTTTACCAAACTTAAAAGTTTGACTTTTCAAAAAAGTAACACATCTTTTTTAAGGCGAACTAGGGTTTGGCTGGTACGCCGCCAGCCGCCGCGCGTGGGTGCCAGCGTTTTCAATCCCAGGACGGCACCGCGGTGCCGTGGCTGGTCTCCCTATCTCCGCACTGTTGTCCGTGGTGGCTGTACACCAAGGTTTTCAGGAGTAGATTGCTTTTGTCTGTTCCATCGTCCACGGCCGGAGGAACATGTCTTGCAGGGAGTTTTGATGTCCTGTGTGTGGATTTCGTGATCTAGTCTGTGTACGTTTGGCGTTGATTTGGTCGTCCGTTGGTGTGGTACTCCATCCGTCCTGACGAACTGATCGTGGACGTCGTCTTCTGTCCCCCCGTCGGCTTTGGCGACAGCAGGTTTTTCTTCCCTCCACGGCTTGCTGGCATCAAGGGTTTCTGTTTCATCGAGATTGAGATTGGGTGGAGGACCGCCAATCCCAATGAATCTTATCAGTTGGAACTGCCGGGGAGGGGGAATTCCCGAACAGTTCGCAAAATCGCGACGGTCTCTCAGTCGCATTCCCCCACTTTTGTGTTTCTTTGTGAGACCAGACAGAAAAACTGAAAAGATGAAGAGGATTCGAGGTAGACTTGGGCTGAAGGGTTTTGAAGGGGTGGATGGTAATGGACTCGGTGGTGGTCTAGCTTTGTTTTGGTATATGAGGCATGTGTGGTTGATATTCTGGATAAAGATGGTCGGTTCATTGATGCCTTGGTCCGGATTAATTCAGATGCTGAGCAATGAAGACTTATGTGCGTATATGGAGAACCACGGGTTGAACATAGACACGCGATGTGGACAAATCTCAAGAATCTTAAGAATGTTTGTGACAGACCATGGTTGGTGGTAGGGGATTTCAACGAAGCCTTGTGGGATTTTGAGCACTTTTCTGCCATGCCAAGACCGGAACCTCAAATGATTGCATTCAGAGACACCCTAGAGGTTTGCAGATTGGTGGACTTGGGGTTCTCAGGGATCCCATTCACGTACGACAATAAACGCAGTGGCGCGGTAACAATGTTCAGGTTCAGTTGGACAGTGCTACAGCAACTAACACTTGGCGAAATTTGTTTCCGGTCTCATCTGTGACACATGTGGTGTCCCCCTGTTCTGACCATGCAGCATTGGTACTGAGAGGGGAGCAGGAACAAGGGCATGTGAAGCCGAAGACTAGGAGGTATGAAGTGTTTTGGGAACGGAATGCAGCTCTGCCGACTGTGATAAAAGAAGCCTGGGACTCGGTGGGCTCCGTCGATAATCTTGGCAAGCTACAGGAAGCTCTACAAAAAACGATGGCAACACTGGGTTCTTAGAGCAGTAGGAAGTTTGGTAATGTAGCGAGAGAGTTGGCTAAATCTCGATCACAGCTTGAGGAGCTGATGAACATGAATGCGGGCAGACAGGAAATCAGAATAATCACAGATAAAATGAATGAGCTCATCTACCAGGAAGAAATGATATGGTAACAAAGGTCCAAATTTTCATGGCTAAAAGAAGGTGATAGGAATACAAATTTTTTCCAAAGTAAAGTTGTATGGAGGGCGAGGAAAAATAAGATCAGAAGTATCACGGACAACATTGGCAATGTTCACACTGATTTTAATGAGATGGCAAGCTTGGCTACAGAATATTTCAAGGGCATCTTTTCGGCAGATAATAACCTTGATGCTGCTGAAGTCTTGGAACTGCTAGAAACAAAAATCTCATTGGAGGATAAGGAGAGGTTATGTGCGCCGTTTGGGGAGAAGGAAATTGCTGCTGCTTTGTTTCGGATAGGGCCATTGAAGGCCTCTAGCCCTGATGGATTTCTGGCGCGTTTTTATCACCGTAACTGGAGTACCTTGAAAGATAGTGTGGTTGCGGCAGTAAAGGATTTCTTCACGACAGGAATATTTTCGGAAGGGCTAAAACTCTACTTCTATTGTGCTCATACCGAAAATTCCTAATCCCACCAGCCTAACCCACTACAGGCCAATCAGTGTATGTAATGTTACTTACAAGGTCATCTCTAGATGTCTTGTTAATCGTTTGAGGCCTTTACTGGACGATATCATCTCAATTGAACAAAGTGCATTCATACCGGGAGACTGATTACAGATAATGCCCTTGTTGCTTTTGAGTGTATTCATCATATAAAACAGGAAAAAGATCCAACTAAGAGTTTTTGCGCTTATAAACTTGATCTATCCAAAGCGTATGATCGTGTGGACTGGTCGTTCTTGAAGCAGGTGATGCAAAAGTTGGGTTTCTGTCACAGGTGGGATGGACTGGATAATATCGTGTGTCACCTCTGTGAAACACCCTGTCAGATTAAATGGGACCCTCTTGGATTCATTTGCACCATCGTGTGGTCTTCGGCAAGGCGATCCTCTCTCCCCGTTCTTGTTTCTCTTTGTGGCTAATGGTTTGTCATCTATTCTCAAACATAAGGTGGCATCAGGTGATATTACTCCCATCAAAGTGTGTAGGCGCGCGCCGGGCGTTTCACACTTATTATTTGCAGATGATACTATGTTATTTTTTAGGCTTCCAAGGTTCAAGCGGAAAATTGTGAAATCAGCCGTAGAACAGTATGGTAAGGCAACCAGACAAAAACTGAATTATGAAAAATGCTCCTTATTATTTGGTAAATCTTGCCCTGCTATTGTGCAAGAGGAAGTTTGAGAAGTGTTGCATGTGGAGTCCACGGTTTTCGAGGAAAAATACTTGGGTCTTCCAACACCCGATGGTCGGATGTCTAAAGGACGATTCCAGAACCTCCAAATGAGTTTAACTAAGCGATTAATTCAGTGGGGTGATGGTCACCTAGCACATCCAGGCAGAGAAGTACTTATAAAGTCAGTTGCGCAAGCACTTCCCACGTACATCATGGGGGTGTTCAAGCTTCCATACTCTGTCTGTGATGAGCTCAGGAGAATGGTCAGGAGCTTTTATTGGGGATCGGCCAGAGGCAAAAGGAAAGTACATTGCCGTTCTTGGGAAAAGCTCATGCAACCTAAAAGCAGAGGGGGAGTCGGTTTCAGAGACTTTCGGATTTTTAATCAAGCATTGCTTGCTCAACAAGCTTGGCATCTCATTACTAGACCACATAGCCTCTGTGCTCAAATCTTAAAGGCCATGTACTATCCTGACGGCAATCTGGAGGACACAGTTTTTAGTGGAAATGCATCCTCATCATGGCAGGCTATTAGCCATGGGCTAGATTTACTGAAGAAGGGTATATTGTGGAGAGTGGGTAATGGCAAAAGCATATGAGTTTGGCGTGACAGATGGATTCCTCGTCCCTACTCCTTCAAACCAATTACTACCCAGGGGACGTGTAGGATCCGATATGTGTCTGATTTGTTGAACAACAATGGCTCTTGGAACGTGAATTTGCTGCAGAAGTATTTCTTACCTGTTGATGTGATGGAAAATTTGAAAATTAGAGCTTCTCCCAGGCAAGAGGAGGATGAGATAGCTCGGGGACCGGGTAAGTACGGTCGCTTCTCAGTTAAAAGTGCTTATGACTTTGCATTTGAAGAGGTTAATCAGGATTCAGCAACTGGTTCGAGCTCTGCTCCTGATGGCCGACGGAAAGGGTGGCAGCTAATCTGGACATGTGAGGTACCCCCTTCTTTTCGTAACTTTGCTTGGAGGATTGCTGTTAACTCCTTACCGACTTGGCAAAACAAGCACAAGCATGGTCTAGAAACTGATGGAATATGTCCGCTATGTGCGACTGAGATTGAGGATAATTTCCACCCTTTTGTATGATACCCTCTTGCTCGTGAACTGTGGTATACCATGGCAGAGGTCTGGGTCTTGCCTGAAATTAATACAATTGTTAACACAGGCAGATAATGGTTACTACATGCACTAGAACCTCTCGCGGACATTGAACGATCCATGATGTTGATGACCTTGTGGCGGTGCTGGCATGTCTACAATGAAGTTGTTCATCACAAGCTTCCTCCCCCGTGTGAATCTTCTAAAAGGTTCTTGGTAAGCTATTTGGACTTGCTCATAGGGCTAAAAACTGATCTATGTGATGATCCTACTAAAGGAAAATCCATTATCTCGTACCGGCAAGAAGTAAGAACCATACAGCCAGGTCATGAGGCTAGATGGAGTTTGCCTCCGGATGGCTGGGTTAAAATAAATTTGGACGGGTCCTTTCATGATAGAGCAGCTGGAGCCGGTATGGTCTTGCAGGACGACAAAGGTGCAATCATTTTCTCTGCTTGCAGAGTGCTTTTCTCATGTCACGAAGCATTGGAAGCGGAGCTCAGTGCTTGTATGAAAGGACTCTCACTTTCAATCCAGAGAAGTGAACTGCCAGTTGTTATAGAGATGGATTTCATGGTTGTCGTGAGCTGATTCAGTCACAAGATCTAGATAGATCGATTTACTATGCTATTGTTAAAGAGATTAGGCATTTGATGAGCCTCCGTAGAACTTGTATTACTCTTGTTAGCCGTTCTTAAAATAAGGTTAGCGATAGTCTAGCTAATTTTGCTAGGATGGAGGGTAGGACTATGACCTGGCTTGGTTCAGGACCTTCAGTTTTTCTAGATGTAGCTCTGGCAGATTGTAATGACCTTTCCTTGTGAGTAATACAAGATTACTACCCGCAAAAAAAACACATCTTATATTTTGAAATAGTGTGATTATTTTTTGAAGAAACCTAAAAACATCAAACCTAAAAACAGAACGGTTCAATGTCGTTTCAAGAAGTCGTTTACGTGCGGGGGGTCAAATGGAAAATGAAAAAATGGCCTAGATTCGGCTGAATTGGGAGCAGTTCCTCTTTTTTTTTTTCCCCACCTAGCATCCATATCGGGCACCGCCGCCACCCCTGCCCCGCGCGGCGCCGCCGCCCCTCCGCCGCCACCCCTGCCCGGCGCGGCGACGCCGCCCCTCGCCGCCAGGCGCGAGGCTCCAGGCCCGCCCCTCCCTCGCCGCTCCGCGGGGCCGCACCACCACACCACGCCGCGCCGCCACTCCCGCCTCCCGCCGTCCCGCGCCGCCTCTGCTGACGGCTGGGGAGAGGGGCCGCCGCCGCCGCCTGGTCCACGTCCAACCCGGACCAGCCTCCGTCGCCTCCTCCGCGCCAGTCCAGAGTCCAGACCGGGAGCAGCCGAGCAGGAGCCAGGAGGACCAGCTTACCGGGGCGTCCGACGCCGGTACGATCTGATCTGGTCCCTCTCTTCTCTTGTCTGTCTCCCAATTCGTTGATCCTACCATGAAGCATCAATATGTGAATTTGTGAAGTTTTCTGAAAATCTGAACCACTGAACTTGTGTTGCTTTTGTTGTCTTCATGCGATTAGAGAACTTGGATTGGCATTTGGTAATTGCTAATTAGAGAGATTGGATTGGTAGTTTTTGATAAATAATTAGAGAGATTGGATTGGTGTTTGTTGATAAATAACTAGAGATTGAATTATGTGGCTGTCACTTGCTATTGCTAACTGCTGCTCCTATATTTCTAGTTGCTTGCTGGTTACTTTGTGAGTTGTTACAAAGTTTTGAGTCAGGAATTATCATTTATATGAAGTAGATATTATCATGTGGTTGCTGGTTACTCTGTCATGTTGTTACAAATTTTATTATCTATTGATTGGTGTATTTTTTGCTAAACATATATTTTTTATGGCTGAAAAAACTGGACATCGAACCGGTGAACCGGCATCCGACCTGTAAAACCGACAGCCTCACCGGTTTGATTACTGGTTTGGTATTTTAAACTATGCCCGCCCTACCTCCAGCTCAGGCCCGGCGGCTCACTCCCACACTACTTCTCCTCGCCGCGCCGCCCGGCAGCCGGTTTCTCCTGCTCCCCTATTGGTTTCCTCCCCTTCCGCAGCTCCTTGGCCAGCGCCAGCTCTTTCACTCTGCGCGCCGTCTCCTACCCGTCCTCTTCCGCGTGCACGGCCTCTTTTGTGAGGGCCGCCACTGGGATTGATAGGATGCTCCTCCACCACCTGCTGCTCCTCTGTCATGTGCGGCGGTAAGCGGCCTGAATTCGGTCTGCTAATTTAGGATTTTGTTATCACAGATCCTTGCGGGTTCTGCTTGCTGTCGCTTGTCCTACCTTCATTGGAGATTCCATGTTTTTTTGAGAAATTCAGTTTGTGTTTCTGCTAATCGAATTTCTGGACATCAGATACTTCTGAGTTTGGTAGAAATCAAAGTTTTCTCTGGATGCGATAAATCATGCATTAGTAGCTAACGAATATTGCTTGTGATGAAACTAGTCTATTTTTATCTATCTGTTAAGCCGAATGTTTGAGTTAAATGCATCTGTATATTATGTAAGTTACATGTTAACTCTGGACCTCTTGAAATTGTGCATCTGCATTGAGTATATTTATCACAACTCATGTGGAACAAACCGGGTAGAGGTAGTGTCAAGGTAAATGTGGACGCATCTTTCTGTGCTGAAACCATGTCGGGAGCTACGGGTGCTGTTGCTCGTGATGACAGAGGTGAATTGATTGCAGCGGCTACATGGTTCATCCTCATGTTTGCACTGCTAATTCTGCGAAGATACATGCGATCCAAAACGGTATTTGGCTTGTGCAAAGAATTGGCTGTAACTCGCTGATAATCTCGAATTTGATAGAATGCAGTTGAGGCTTTTAACCAACAGGAAGCTTGCTATGGCCCTGAAGTGGCTGTCATTATGGAGTGCAAGCAAATGGGTTCAGAGTTTGCAAAAAATCTTCTTGTGTTCATTGCTTCCGAGAATCAAACTCTGAGAAATGTAATGAATATATTTCCAGCCGTATGAATCAAATGAAGTTTTGGGGAAGTTCTATCCCAGACTTTATTTCTCATCTTATTGTAAATGACTTATCCATATTTGTGGAATAAAGTCTATTTGCTGTCAATTTTTTTATCACAACTCATACGGATGGAAATATATTCATTACATTTTTTGCACTTCAACTGTCTAAGTGTGTTATTGAAGATAGTAAGAGATTGTTCTTCATTCTTCTTGCAGGCAAGTCTTGAATTTTTTTATGATGCATTGTCAAAGAGTAATGGACAATTAATGGCAATCTGTCTTCAGTCGCGTCAAAATCTGAGGAAGCTGGCTGCTTCCTTCACACTCCTTAATCCATCCCAGAAGATACTGCTTTCACCTCCCCCTCCGGCTCACAGGTAGTGAAACTGTTTTGTTGATTCTCCTCTCTTTCAATCCTTAATTCTATGTTTTCTGCATACCACATGGCCAAAATTTATACCTCATTTGCTTGTTCATGAAGTGTCAGAATTTATCAGTTGCAGCTGATTCATGCAACCAAAATGTGTCTTAATTGTAATAGTTCTGTATGAAGTGTGGTTGCATTTTTCACATAGTAGTATCACTTGACATGATTTGTCAAATGTGGTCTATTTCGTCACTCAATTTCGTGTCTTAAGTGTAAACGTAAGAAGTGTCTACCAAGTACGTAAGACATGGCTGTTTTGATCATATTTTGTCCACAAGTTGAATTTAGTTTTCCTCATATTTTGCCTTCTAGTTATTGCAGATCTGATGCTATTTCCCCTAGCAAATGCTTAAGCCCCTTTTACCCGTTTATGTATTCACGGGGTGTTAGATGGGCTAGCTATGAATCAGTGAATCTGGTTTTGTCTGATGATGGGAAACCCAAGTTTGAGATTGAGGAGGTGGAGCCTTCCAAGAAGGGGAGGTTTTTGACAAAGAGGCGTTTGAAGCTTCAGAGGAAGCGGGAAAAGAGGAAAAGGAAGGAGGCCAATAAAAACGATCCACGTCGTATCAGACCCAAGGGGAAAAAAATAAAACAGAAATTTCCTACACCTGAAGCTCGTCTCAAATACAAGATCGAGAAGGTATCAACAAGTTAGTTTTATTTTCAACCTTATTTTCTTTTTTGTCCATTTGGTTTGCTTTGTTACTTCCTTGCTTTTTTCTATATTATGAATAGGACTTGCTAATTGCTACTCAATATTTAATCAGTCCTTTATTTCTATTCCACGAGTATTGTGCTTTCCTTACGTTACTTTTTTGGTAGCTATTTTTGTCATGATGCGGTTGGCTCATTTGGAAACTGTGACTGGCCATTTAATATTGTTGAAAATGACATAGTCTTCTACCAGGATTGGCCATCGTTTAGTATTTGCCGTTTAAAATTAGCTTGTTTGATGGAAACTTTCAATACCACCGAAGCAAATGGAAAATAAGATGCTTAATTTCTCATTTTGATTCGTGGAAGAGGATTTATTAATATGTGTTGTTTCTCTTCCAGTCCAAATTAAAAGAAGCTATGTTGGTTGAGAAGCTAAAGAGGTACGAGGTTGCGAAAGCTGAAGGCCCTGTCGCCAAACGAGATGATCTCGATGGTGAGGAAAGATTTTATTTAAAGAAAGTTTCACAGAAAAAGTCAAACTATGTCCCGATTGGAAGGCGAGGAGTATTTGGGGGTGTAATTCTGAACATGCATTTGCACTGGAAGAAACATGAGACTGTCAAGGTCATCTGTAAGCCCTGCAAACCAGGGCAAATCCAGGAGTATGCAAATGAGATAGCTCGGCTGAGTGGTGGTGTCCCTATTAATGTTATTGGAAATGACACCATAGTCTTCTACCGAGGAAAGGACTATGTTCAGCCAGAAGTCATGTCACCAATTGATACACTGTCAAAGAAAAAGGTAGGTAGGATTATTCTGTTTCCATTGGTTTGTCTCAAGTTGATGCTTGCTAATGGTTGCTAGTACGTAGCAACCAGAAACTGCAGAGAATTTCCCCTTTTGCTATTCTTTTGAACTTTCTGTTATTTTCTTTGTGGATGGCAATGTTTTGCTTATAATACTGAAGGAGTGCAGCTTCCAGAATTTATGTTTTAGAGAAAAAAGTATTGTAAGGAAAAAGAATAATCAACAAAGTGGTACAGTTTATATTTAATACACAACATTGTAAACTGTAAGATGCTCAACATTATACACTTTAGCATGGTTTGACAGTTAACATCACATCAGCGGCACACCAGCAGCCTGTTCCTAGTTCATATGTCCAAAACCACAGCTTAAGTTCAGTGGCAGTATTTGGTTCTGATCATTAGTCATCAGGCTGACTGTATATAAGTGCGCATCTTTTCAAATGGCCCCTGACACCTGTCTTCTTTTTATCCCAGGCACTTGAAAAATCAAAATATGAACAATCACTGGAGACAGTTCGGCGTTTCATCGCAATCTCTGAAAAGGAGCTCGAACTATACTATCGGCATGTTGCACTCTATGGAAAACCACAACCCCAGAATGCTGATCTGGTCCATGGTGGTGGTAGCCAGGCTTCTTCACCGGAAATGGAGGAATTGAATCATGGAAAGGACCAAGGACCTCATCTGGCTAGGAATGCTTTCTCTAATGTTGACATCATGGATACATCCGAATCTGATGAGGAATATGACTCTAGTAGTGAATCTGATGCCAATGATGTTGCGGCTGGAGATGCTGTAGACAGTTCTGAAGATACTGATGTTTCTGATCACAGGCTGTTCTAGGTGAGTGAGGTGCAGTTACCTCTTGTGGCACTCTTCATAACGTTGATTGCTTCAGAGTGAGCCACAATATTATGACATGGGCATTTATCTTCATTTAAGATAGATCTGACAGTTCTCAAGACGATGTTAGTGTGCTCAAATCACTATGGGTGCAAGTGGGGCGTGGCTGGCCCCTAAGCTGCTGTCCGGCCTTGCAAACCAAGCCAAATAAACGCCGCTGGACAGACCGCACTTGCTCAAGCGGGTTCAAGCTGCTCTGCCTGCTTTGTCCGGTGGGCATCCCACATATCCCGCAAGAAGAGTTGGCTGTCTCCCGATGGAAATCCACCAGTTCCATCTCCTCCTAGAGGCTACAACCGGCAGCAGTGCCACCACCTCTGTCGCCAGTGTCCCCTGCAGTGCATCATGTGGTGTTTGTCATCAGCATAGTAGCCAATTGTGCCAGCTGCCATAAGCAAAGTAAGAGAGCTTGGATTTTGACCATCCTTTTTCTGTAGGTCCTATAAATTTCATGTTCCAGAGTTACTTGCTAGTAAAGACCCAACATTGCCCTTTGCTAAGTTTAATCACAATTCAGTGCGATGGTGGTCAGCTCATGCACTTCACCTCTCACACACCGTTGGCAATCTCCCAGGGCGATGCTAATGATATCGAGTGGTGTTCCGCGCGTTGATGCAGTAATACTGCACCTCATTTTTTGTCTTCTGATTTTACTCTGTAGTACTTGCTCTTTAGTACCCCCCCCCCCCTAAAAGAAATATAAGAGCTTTTAGATCACTAATTTAGTGATCTAAACACTCTTATATTTCTTTACAGATGGAGTAGCAGTGAACTCAATCTGCAATTACTCGACCTCCCAGGCTGATACTATTGAGTTCTTCATGCTGAAAGAACAGAGGACAGGCAGAGAGGCTTTGGTCCGAAGCAAGGCTCTGTCTGAAGCTTGTGTGTTGCTGAAGCTTCTTTGTTCACCGAAACTTTTACGCCTCATGTATCGCAGTACTAATGTCGCCGGCCTAATTGCATTCGTGCAAACACTTTAATTGCCTCCATACTTGCTTGAAGAGACCACTTTAGTTGGGTCAAAATATAACTTTACCATGGAAAACACCTCCCTGCTTTATGCACAGGAACTCATCCATGGCCTCCCATCTGCCACTAAATGCAGCTGATAAAATGTTGCCTCATGTTTCCAAAAGTGCCCTCAGCCCTCACGGTCAAAAAGGGTGCTTGTGGGGAGGGCTTGCAGTTGCAGATACGCAGCTGTCAAAAGGCCAAAGTGTACAATACCAGGGTGGCCTGCTGTATTATACTACTGTTTGCCCTTCTCACTTTTCGGCAGGTCATCATCTTCTAATCCACTCGGATTATTGTTTCATGTCAAGGCCTTAGTCTGGTTGTGATTGTGATGACGTGTGGACCCAAGCTCCGCCTCCGCAGTTAATAATAGTGCTGTGTAGCATCCATCAGATTTTCAAAATTGTAGTATATCCTGAAAATTTTTCTGCCACCACAGGTTTTAGCGTGTACTCCCGAGGGAGATTCAAATAAGTCCAAGATCTAGAATATATGTGGATCAGTTATCTTTTGGGGAAATGAAACATATTACTGCTATTTTCTTATGCTGATGGAGAGCACCTCAAACATACGTTTTGTTGTACCGAGAAAAAGCCATTGTCGACCAAAAGTTTGGTGAGTTCAAAGTTGAAGCCTACAATTTGCATTGTCTGCATTATCAAAGTATGTACCTGTACAATCCCTTGGCTTGGCTATACCTCCTATCTTGTGAAATGATAGGATTGAAATAGTATGGAAAATATAATTCAGACAACAATGAATTAGAAAAATAAGGAAATGAGATTATGCTTACCCACTCTAGGACGACGACCGGGTAAGAGAAGTAGGTTGCTGAAGTGGAAGGCAGCGTTCATTATTATGGAGGGGTTATTTCCTTATTGGGGGGTAGATTCAACGGGATGAAGAGCAAGGGAAATCTAGCGAAGAATGGGGTTCAGATTGTGCGATGGACTAGGATTTGAGTCACAATTTTGGTTTGTGTATTGAGGGGTGAGGGGGCTAATGCCCCCCTACCCTAACATAAGGTGGGAGGGGAGGACCAATGTATATGTGCTGAATATTATGTTTACGATTTGTGCTATAATTAGACTTATAATTAGCAGTGAGTTAGGTGTTTGAGTCAAACACGTGTAACCCGAGCCTATATATAAGGGCACCCTGTGTAGCCGAATAGACAAAAAGCATGTACACTCATATAGGATCACACACATGTCCTCGTACAAGTAGATAATTATACTCGTACGTCTGAAAAAACGGCCAGCCCTCAGAACATGTATAATCAGCAATTCTAGGGGATTGAGTTGTCTCCGCAAGATCTGGCTTGCAAGATCTGGGCACCCCCAAAGTGCCGGTTCTTCCTACGATTTCTGGCCACTGCCCCTTCACCAACACACGGCATGGTGCAAGATCGCTGGCTCCTCAAGATGCGCTGCTCTAGTGCCTGGTGCATGGACTCACTAGGAAGAAACGGCTAAGCTGGCTGCCTGGGCGCGCATGCAGTTTGATATGCACCACGACTAATCGCAAGAAAACGGCCTCCATTGCGGTGGCGACCCTTTGCGCACTATGGAAGGAACGCTGCGGGCGGTAATCCAGCAGCTGGCACGCCCTACCACTGCCCTTGCGAATGAGATCATGGACGAACTCTAACTCTGGATGATGGCAGGTGCGCCGCACCTAAATCTGCGAGAGTAGTCCTTTTTCCGGGCCTTGCCCCTTTTCTAAGTGTCACGCGTGTGTGCAAGCTAAGCAACCTCGTAAGCCTCACAAGCCTGCGAAGGAGAGACACCTGGCACCTCTAGAGCTCATACATTCAGATCTTTGTGAGATGAATGGTGTGTTGACTAAAGGTGGAAAGAAATACTTCATGACTCTGATTGATGATTCCACTAGATTCTGCTAGTGTATTTGTTAAATACTAAGGATGAGGCTCTACACTACTTTAAAGTCTATAAGGCTGAAGTTGAGAACCAACTTGAGAAGAAAATAAAATGAGTCCCGTCTGATCGTGGTGGAGAGTACTTTTCTAATGAGTTCGATTTATTCTGTGCGGAACATGGTATTATTCATGAGAGGACGCCTCCCTACTCACCTCAGTCAAATGGGGTTGCCGAACGGAAAAACCGTACTCTAACTAATTTGGTTAACACCATGTTAGATACATCGGGTTTATCCAAGGCATGGTGGGGGAAGGCTGTATTGACATCTTGTCATGTCCTGAATAAAGTTCCCACAAAGGATAATGAGACTACTCCCTATGAGCAATGGGAAAAGAAAAGAACTACACTCTCTTACTTGCGCACTTGGGGCTGTTTGGCGAAAATCAATGTGCCGATAATCAAAAAGCGCAAGTTGGGACCAAAGACCGTGGACTGTGTTTTTCTTGGCTATGCCAAGCATAGCGTTGGCTATAGATTTCTAGTGGTGAAATCTGAGGTACCTGACCAGAAGGTCGGTACAATTATATAGTCTAGGGATGCTACATTCTTTGAGGATATTTTCCCCATGAGAGATACGCAAAGCAATTTTAGACTGGAATCTGATGAGACTATTGAACCTGCTATTCCGATGGAATATTATGAACATAAAAGTGATAAGAGTTCCACGGAGGATGACGAGGAAGCTCCTGTTAGGAGCAAGAGACAGAGGACTGTAAAGTCCTTTGGTGATGATTTCCTCGTGTACCTCGTGGATGATGATACTCCCAGCTCCATTTCAGAAGCTTATGCATCACCGGATGCTGACTACTGGAAGGATGCGGTCCGTAGTGAGATGGATTCCATCTTGGCTAACGGGACATGGGAGATCACTGATCGTCCTTATGGTTGTCGACCATTAGGATGTAAGTGGGTGTTCAAAAGGAAGCTTAGGCCCGATGGTACTGTTGAGAAGTACAAGGCTAGGCTTGTGGCCAAGGGTTATACCCAGAAAGAAGAATATGATTTCTTTGACACTTATTCACCTATGGCTAGACTGACAACCATTCGAGTGTTACTCGCTTTGGCTGCCTCGCATGGTCTTCTCGTTCATCAGATGGACGTTAAGACGACTTTCCTTAACGGAGAGCTAGACAAGGAAATTTACATGCAACAGCCGGATGGCTTTGTAGTAAATGGTCAGGAAGGAAAGGTGTGTAAGCTAGTGAAATCTTTGTATGGCCTGAAACAAGCGCCTAAACAATGGCATGGGAAGTTCAACACTACTCTGACATCTGCTGGCTTTGTTGTGAACGAAGCTGACAAATGTGTATACTATCACTATGGTGGGGGCGAAGGAGTTATACTGTGTCTGTATGTCGATGACATACTGATATTTGGGACCCACCTCAAGGTCATTGAGGAGGTCAAGTCCTTTCTATCTCACAACTTTGAGATGAAGGACCTGGGTGTGGCCGATGTTATCCTGAACATCAAGCTACTGAGAAATTCTGAGGGTGGAATTACACTTTTGCAATCCCACTATGTTGAGAAGATTTTGAGCCGTTTTGGATATTCGGACTGCAAACCTTCCGCAACACCATATGATCCTAGCGTGCGGATTCAAAAGTTCGAAGGCACGGCTGTAGATCAATTGAGATATTCTCAAGTGGTTGGTTCACTGATGTACCTAGCATGTGCTACTCGTCCTGACATCTCATTTGTTGTGTGCAAACTGAGCCGGTTTGTTTCCAATCCGGGAGATGTGCATTGGCATGCTGTTGAGCGAGTGATGCGCTATTTGCAAGGTACTGCGAACTATGGAATTCACTATTCTGGGTACCCGACGGTACTTGAGGGGTATAGTGATTCGAATTGGATATCTGATACTAATGAGATGAAAGCCACAAGTGGACATGTCTTCACACTTGGTGGTGGTGCTATTTCCTGAAAGTCTTGCAAGTAGACGATCTTAACCAGATCGACTATGGAAGCAGAACTCACAGC